GTCTCGGAAAGATACCGGTGGTTGCTTGAAATGATGGATCTCGCCAAACTGAATGGCTTGCTCTTGGTTCCCCTTCGAACCAACCACCATCCCAAATCCCCAAAAGCCCTAGGGCTAGCTCAAGGTTTGTTGAAGTACGGGGTCTCCAAAACGGCTGGTGTTTTTTTTGCTTTCCCCTTTAAACCAAACTCAAAAGGGTACCTCAAACACACACACACACACTCACACCCACATACGATACTCCCTGAGCGAGAAAGTAGATACAGCAGGAACTCCTTGCTTTCAATACTCTCACAGAAGACATGCGTGGAACGGAATGAACTGGGGTACCCCTCCGTCACGCGGAAATTCAGTTTGCCTGGCTGCTTCAATCCCTGACAAATCCGTTGAGACGCTTGTCACGGGCTCAAATCTTGAGAACTCGCAACTTTCATAGGGGCTTTTGGAACCCATGAGATGCTCTGGAGTTTAAAACTTGAGCCCCAAATACCCATGAGCCCCCTGTCTCGTACCATCGCTGTGCCCATGACACCATGTCCCACGCTTCCGACTCACTCACTCCCCCACTCCCGGACGCCCAAACACAGCGTCCCGCAAAGCCGTCGCAAGATCTGATCAACCATTCTGCCCTGGGAGGAGCTGGGTCACCCGGCTCCACACGGTCCTTCAGGATGGGCTTACCCTCCACATCCCAGCCTCAGATTTGGGTGGGGGGGCAGGTGGGCAGGTGGGCAGGTAACGTCGGAAAGAGTACCATCAACCAAAGATACACCCACTGACATGTTTCCACCCGTAGCTCCCGCACGGCTCTCGCGATAACAGACCGTTCCTCACGGTCACTATGACTCGGTCATTAACCTAACGAACCTCCACACGTGATGATCTGCCGTCCTTCATTATCATGGTGATCTGGCAACCGACTAGGTTCAGCCGTGGCCACCCAGTGTTCCGAACTCAAGCCACGCGCCTGAACTGAGCCAAATCCGCCCCCCACCCCCCGCCCCCGCTGGCCTTGCCGCAGCCTTTGCCGCCAATCATGGATTTCATCTTGAGATTCTGGTCCATTCGCCAATCTCTCAGGATCTAAAAGTCACTTGAGTGGATTCAGAACAAGCCCACGTTGCTTGCCAGACTTGTCTTCCCCCCCCCCCCAAAAGAAAACCAGACCTCCAACCCGTCCCAACCAACGCCTGCAGACAGCTCACCCTCCGGGCTTCCGGGCCCAGGGACTCGGCCGTGCGCTCCAGAGTGCCCACTGCCTTAGGGCGCTGTGTTCGCGGCGGGGTGACGGGCCAAAACCCCGAGCGTCCGTCCCGTTGAAAGGTTTCCCATGTCCCACTAGAAGGAACAGCCCGAACTAAAGAGGGTGCCAGTACTAAAGAGGGTCGGCTTCGCTTCGTGTTCGGGAGACCCCAACCATTCAGGAGAGTTCTGTTGCATTCTTCCTAAGTCCTCTGCCCTTCCGTGGAAAACTGCTTTTGCAGGGAAGGTCATCACATTGTTGCATTGCTTCTTTAGTCTTGTCATTTGGGATGTATGCAACAAACTTTAAGGAAATGGCATTTTTTGCTGAAATTTCTGCAGTCACGGCCAAAAGTATAGCCACTAGCGTGATTGTGCGTGTGCGCTTCCACACTTCTAGCGCCTTTGCCTATGCTGATGTCGCTGAATGCCTGCCTCTCAGCGTAGCTTCAGGTGCTTCAGGGTTTAAAACAATTTCGTGTGGAGCTGAATCCCATGCTTAATCCCTGCGACTTCTCTCATCTTTGGACACTTTGGGATACCTTTCTCTGGCAAGTGTCCCTGTGAAACCGACCGAAAAAAAAAAAAAAAAGAGGTACACTCAAGCTCTGGGTTTGCCACGGGGGTTCAAAAATCAATGCTGCAACCCAGCCTGAAGACCAGCCAAAAAGAGAAGAACACCAGCAGTGCAAAGGTATGTGCCAAGACTAGGCCAAGACCTTTCGTTTCCGCTATGACCACAGTGGCTTCACCTCAACCAGGTACTTTGCCCCCAACCAGCTAGCTTCCCTTTGATTTGAATCAAACTTGTTTTCCGACAATGTCACAAGTAGATTCGCCATGGAGACCCAAGACAACTTTTAGCAGTCCTCTCCGATTCCTCCCAAAACAGGCCCCATTATTTCACCATCAAAGTCAGCCCCTAAGTGCTGGGTTAAATTAAAGCCTCCAGTTTCTGACTTTGACAACCCCCAGAAACAGTCAAAACGATGACCCACCCGTGACTTCGCGCCTGTCCGCCCTGGCGGCGCCGAATCCGCCGCCGGAGGCCCCGCGCCTCGAGGCTGTTGGCCCAAACGTGTGGCCATGCACCCAGTGGGTGGTTAAAGTTTGAGGAAACCCCCGGCAAACAAGGGAAACATCATGAACACCCAAGGGACAAACAAAAACATGAACAAAAACCGGCACCCAAGGGACCAATCATGAAGAAGACCGCCACCCAATATTTTTCGAACCGAACATGTCCAAAGCGTTCAACAATTTCAGGGGTTCTATATGGAGTTGTCGCGAAATGGCTTTTGACTCTCAAAAACAACATCGGTCTCACAACCCCGATGAGTACCCCCGAAAGCAAAAGGCTGCTGATGCTGGCCTCCCCTGGAAACAGCCAACACAAGAGACGGCTCAACGGCCGGCAAGCGGAACAGCAGTCATCATGACACTGAGCAATTGATATGACCAACCGGCAAATTCTCCGCGTTTCATCACCCGAAGAAGCAACACGGGCTGAACCAGCAAAGCCAAGATCAGGACAAACTGGTCACGCTGTCTTTTGGCCACGACCACTTGACAAAATGGGAACCCAAATTGATACCTGGTGAATCATTACAATGCTCAAAGCTCACAATACTTCCCCCAAAAGGACACTCACTTTAAGCTGTGCCCAGCGTGAGATAAAATCGCACATGGGGACCCCAATCATCCACCCGAGGTAAATGATCTTCATGGGTGAGGTCGCACCCCTTGTGAAGTCACCTAAATTGAACCAAATGTGTTTGTCTCAAAATAGTAAGCCACCCAATGCTTTTGTTCCATTGGATTCGCTTCAAAGCCGGCCGAAGGGCACTCATTTGCCCCAGCTCTGACTCTCATAAGTAAGTAACCAAGATCTAGCCTGATTTTATACTTTAGGGCTGACTAAAGATGACACACAACCTGAACATACTGTGGATGGACGAATTCCTGCACCACTTGGAGACCATGCGAAACCATAGGTATTTACAGCCACAGCATCAGTTGCTGTACACCTGGCCAAGCTAAACATGAACCGCCGCCATTTCGAGGCCACAAATTTCTGAGCCCGGCGCGACCGCCACAGCAGCTGCAGCGAATCCCGCGAGGGCACCTGCCGCGCCAAGTCCGGAAAGGGATGGGTGTTTGTTCAAGGTACCCGAAACCCGCAGGACGTGAGAAAAAGGTTAAAGCGAGTCTGAACTTTCCTGATTTAAAGTCCAGGAACTCAGGAAGTGAGTACACCTGCTTCTTTTCGTTGTTCGCTTTAGTCAAGGGCAACGTAAGATGGTCCCACACGTCGTTGAAGGAGGCAGGCTGAGCAAGTTCTTGTTTGTGTTTCTTTTCTCTTTTTTTCGTTCGACGATTTGATGGACCCGCTGTGCTCCAATGAAACTGCCACTTTTAGAGGCCACAAATTGGATGAGCCAGCCCGGGTCCGGAGCCCGGGTCCGGAGTGCCGCTTGCCTCCGTTTGCAAGACATTTGTCACTAGGGCCGTCCCTTCCGCGGGTGATGACGTACATGTAGCTTTGAATACATGTGCTTCTACTTTTGAGCTTTTCCTTCATTCATTTGGCTACAACAGCTTGAAGGATCTCACGAGTGGCTGGAGCATATCAGCAAGATGCTGCAGCAAACACCGAATGCACAAGAGACATTTCAATCCGAGGTCATGGCTTGGTCACCTGTTTTTCCATATCTAAGCATCACCCATCATCACAACAAGGACATCCTCAAACTCAAAATGCCTAACTCGTGCTAACTAAGTTAGCTACACTCCAGAAGCCGTAGCGCGAAATCTTGAGGAGACTTGGCCAATCCCAATTCTCCCAAGGAAGTGGTCCTGCGGGTCAAATCTTGTTTGCTATTTGACGCGCCTAAGATTGAGCCGCAGTGCATGACACATTTTGCTTGAATTGCCTTCGGCATCGTCGGATTTATTCTGATTCAGTGCTCTGAGTGGGAGAATACCACCCATTCTAATGTTTGTGGAGTGGTCCACGCGTAGGGTGTGAAACAATTCAGGGACTCCACAGTTGCATGCCTGGAATCTTGGCATGGACCCCCCATGAAACCTTGCAAGCTTGTTTTCCCACATTGAATTCCTGGCCATTTTGGGAGGTCCAGCCATGAAGCTTTGGACGTACTCAAGCAAGTCCCAGCCGATGGGAGAGGGACGTGCCGCAGTTGCAGAGCATGTGGCAGGGTCATTGCAGAGCTAGCAACAACGCATGGATTGAAACGCCAAGACCAGACAACACCGCGGAAGAACTGGCAGAAGCTGCAGGAATCTCTGGTGCTCAGGAAACAATGCAAGCAATATCCGGACAAAGGATATCGCGAAACACGAGTCCTGGAAGTCTTTTGCTAGAATCATTCCCAACCTTCAAGTATAGGTGCAATCGCACACAACACATCAACACGTATCAAAACACAAGACAATGCTTCCCCCAAAACCACTTCCAACGTCAGGAGCGCATTGCAATCCATCGAGCCCCATACTGCATACACCTGATGTTCAACTGTGTACCAATCGACTTATGATGCTTCGAAGCCAGGGTCAAAGTCGCAATCACAAATAGTCGCCAAAGTGGCCCCTGAACAAAGCTCACTGCATAGAGCTGCTGCTGCTTCCGTCCATGTTGCGAAGGTCGCATTGTATTTGTAGCACCTATTGCCTGACAGGGGTCACTGGAATTCCCCTGCAGTTTACTGGTAAGTTGCAACAAAATTGCCGCTTTTGCAGGTCCAAAAAGGGAAACTGAAGCACCCCTGCCTGACTGTGTCCAGCCAGTGTCACAAACATCCGGCGTCCCGTCGCCCAGCACCGACCGGAAAGGACGCAAAAGGCACCCCCTAAAAAAACCGAACCTTGGGCCGGTGACATGGTGCAACCTCCGGTGACGGATCATCAGCAATTTACAGTGTCAGCTTGCAATAGGGTATTTGCAGGTAAACCACCGTGAGCTCGGTTTGCCCTTAGAGCTCCTCATCCATCCTTAGAAGTCAGCCCTGAGATGTCGATGTGTTACGGGGTAAACGGAATCGTTTACCCACTTTGGGGGGTGCTTTAAAACCACCACAAAAGGGGCACCAACTCCTAAAAAGACGAGCCACCCATCTTCAAAGCAACTGCGGATGGACGAAATCTTGCACCACCACCTAAACCTTGGAATGATTCGATTCCCCTGCAAATACCCAAACACATGGGTTTCACCCATGGGTTTCTTAGGTGCGGTCCAACGGATTTCTCGTCCAACGGATTTTGGTGAGACCTCCACGGCGCGATTTTTTCCCGAAATCTCCACATCTTCGGGGCCTTTGCCAGGCGCCTCTTGGCGGCTTGCCTCGCGGCCTGGGAAGCGTTCTGTGGGCTTGGGCGCGCAGTCCAAACGAACCTCCCTTTGGACGCTTCCCATGACAAAACGTGAACCAAAAGGTGCAAACATCAAGCCACCCAAACTAAGAACAACCAGTTCTCAATGATCGACACATTTCCGATTGCCCGGGTTTGGGATTGAAGACCAGTCGCTTAGGCTTGGGCCCTTTCAGAAGGCTGCATTATCTTGCAACTCAGAGAAGTCATTGGAAGGAGGTGCCGGATCCGATTCCAGGGCTCCGGAATGCTTGAGGTAGTCAGCCCTCCCGGTCATGTTCCCGATCTCGAGATTCCAAGGCTTTGTTTCACACTCATTTCTCACATGACCAACTCCAGCCAGCGCGGTCCCCAAATTGCGTGTCTTCATCAAGCGACTGTTACGAGTTCAGTTCTCATCATATATAATCATGATCCACCATCTTCAGCGGTAAGCTGATGGGGGCTCCCCACAAAGGGGCAAGGACCCCGATTCATAGCGGAAAGCCAGGCAAAATTGTACAAAGAGCGCGTTTGTCTTAGCGGGGGCTGGACTAGTCCTCCCCTTTGCAGAAAAACAAGAATTGTTCCAGTTGTCAACCCCGCTTTCACTTGGTGCAGAACGATCTTCTCAGTGTTCGATCCACACCAACTTGCTTCGCGTGTCTTACTTGATTCAACAAATCTCAACCGAGCGCAACAAAGAACTGGAAGAATGTAAAACGACTCCACAACAAAACATAAAATTTGTCTCCCAAACCATATCGATGTACACCCGGCTACTCTCCGACGGCCCCCATTTATCTTCCCCGGAAATTGGGAAACACACACCGAAATTTCGCTGCGCAGCGGCCTGTTGAGCTAATTACGCTGATGGAACCTTCATGGTTCCCAATCCCATTTTTGCGCTTTGACATGTGGCCCGCCTGGCAGCGAGCGAGTGGGCGCCTTTCGGCGCAAGTTGCCCTGCAGCGCGTTGCCTCAAGCGGGTCTGTTGGCTTGCCGGCGCCGAGCCAAAGGGGCGTCGAATTTGGCGTGGCATTACCTTTTGGAGTTTTGAAGGGTTTGTGGAGGTGGCTTTCACATGCTTTCACAAGAGACACCGGCCCCTGCAAGGAGCACGGGTCCCTGTCAATTTCAAGAAATCTCCCAAGAAGCATTCAAGCTCCTTGCTGTGTTATCTCACTCTACAAGATGTCAACCAACCAAAGCCACCCACCAAGCGCAAAACCGCAAAGCCACACCAACATAAACCCCGACCACCGGTCTCTCGACCAGTCACTAAGCGGCCGGCCTTTCAGGCCCACCTGAGGCCTGAAGTGACAGTGTGGTCCGCTCACATTCCAAACTGCCAAGCGCCCGGGTAGGGCAACTCAAGCTCCCTGCGGGACGATTACCAGGAAACCTTAAGCCTCCAACTGGTGGTGTCAGTGTGGCAAGTGGCTCTTAGTGACACTGTTCCGCGTACATGACAATGAATCAAACAAACATGCCGCCATATATGTTGACGTCAAAGCTGTGATTTCGCTGAGGCGGCAGCAGCATTTGCAAGCAAACAAGGGGCCTTTCTTTGAGGTCACACACACACACGCCTGCAAGCGTTTGTCGTAGTTTGACCTTGCGACAGCAAACAATGTTGCGAAAAAGGTTTCAAAGGCTCTTACAGACACACACACACACACACACACACGGACACACAAACACACAGACACACAGACACACAAACACAGACACGCAGACACGCAGAACCGCAGACACGCAGACATGCAGACACGCACACGCGCGGACGGACGCGGCAAACGCGGAAACGCAGCAGACGCAGCAGACCGGCAGACGCAGCAGACCAGCAAACGCAGACGACCAGCAGGCACGCAGGCAGCCACGCAGCAGGCAGACACGCAGCTGGCAGAGATGCAGCAGGCAGACACGCAGTCACGCCGCAGACACAGACACGCCAGACACACAGACACGCCACAGACACACAGACACGCCACAGACACACTGACACGCCACAGACACACAGACACGCCACAGACACACAGACACGCCATAGACACACCGACACACATACAGACACGCAGACAGACACGACAGACACACAGACACACGGACAGACACACAGACAGACACACAGCCAGACACCAGACACACAGACAGACACACAGACAGACACGCAGACAAACACACAGACACACAGACAGAAAGACACACAGACAGACACACAGACAGACACACAGACAGACACACAGACACACACACAGACAGACACACAGACAGACACACAGACAGACACACAGACAGACACACACAAACAAACACACAGACACACAGTCAGAAAGACACACACACACACCCTTCAGCAAGACAGAATGAGACCTTGACAATGGCTTTCTGCTCACCTGCTTTATGTAACTTGACAACTGCTCCACACAAGTCCTCTTTGCAAAATCACGGCAAACAACTTGCACTACTCCGTATCCAACAAACATGGAAGTAGACAAAGGGCCGTTTCAAGAGTATGGCAGTCTTCCAAAACCCTCAGTTGCCCAAAGCGCCCACAAACACAAGTGACATTTTGGCAACTGAGTGATTGCTTTGAAGGGCAAAAAGTCGCCCAGTGAATCTAACGGCCCCTGACCGTTCCTGGGCTCCCGGCTGTACCTGGCCTACGGAAAATGCCAGATCCATCGCCTGAATCGCAGGCGAGGCAATGCTTCGCCAATCGCCCAGTTAGTTTTGCTTGCCTGTCACCAATTCACAAACTGTTGCTCCATCCCGCCTGCACCAAACAAGCGTGAACATGCACCAACACTTGATACAACGTTATTCTGCTGAATTGCATTTACGGTCAAACAACTGTGGGTTGCCAAGTGGAAATGGCGAAGCATCCTCTCCCCTTCTCTCCACCTCCTGACCACTATCAGCTCCTTATGTTACCAATCTGGCCCCAAGTGAGGAAGGACTGCCCCTTCAAGAGCCGAACGTGGCGTGGTCCCCCGTGCCTCTTTTTGCCGAAAGGCGGTGCTTCGGTGATGGCTTTGAAGACTTGATGCTCAGTGCTGCAGAGCGATTCCGAGTTTGCCGGCGGTGTTTCACACTCCCCAAATTGTGGGTCCAAAATACGAATTCCAGATGCTGACCCACAGCGGCGTTCCTCTGCTTGAGTCCCTCACCTGAAGCTTGGCGAATGATTCTAACTCGTCCGGGTCTTCCTTTTTGATCCTGTTAACAGGGCCGTTTCAACAATACAAATACAACATACCGAATCGTATCGTTGCGTATTGCGAGCTATCGGTATCGAAAACCAAGTATCGCAACCTCAAATCGTATCGAAGACTATCGCTGGAAAACGTTTTGAATCATACCGATTTGTATCGGTATCTGTTGGGGTTTGCTTTGAGGGGCCCTTTGGGGCCAGAAGGGCGGCAGCCAGCTGCTGCGGATTGCGGCTGCCTGGCACGAGGAGGAGCACGGACTGAGATTGCTTCAAGCCGATTCCATATTGAACATTTACGGCTGCAACCATCCGAGGCCAGAAATCAACCTAACTCGGTGAGTTAGATCGTTTTTGAGGGTTCCCACTTCCCAAGGCTCATCCGGAACAGCTGCAACCATCCAAGGCCAGAAATCAACCTAACTCGGCGAGTTAGATCGTTTTTGAGGGTTCCCACTTCCCAAGGCTCATCCGGAACAGCTGCAACCAACCAAGGCCAGGAATCAACCTAACTCGGCGAGTTAGATCGTTTTTGAGGGTTCCCACTTCCCAAGGCTCATCCGGAACAGCTGCAACCATCCAAGGCCAGGAATCAACCTAACTCGGCGAGTTAGATCGTTTTTGAGGGTTCCCACTTCCCAAGGCTCATCCGGAACAGCTGCAACCATCCAAGGCCAGAAATCAACCTAACTCGGCGAGTTAGATCGTTTTTGAGGGTTCCCACTTCCCAAGGCTCATCCGGAACAGCTGCAACCAACCAAGGCCAGAAATCAACCTAACTCGGCGAGTTAGATCGTTTTTGAGGGTTCCCACTTCCCAAGGCTCATCCGGAACAGCTGCAACCATCCAAGGCCAGAAATCAACCTAACTCGGCGAGTTAGATCGTTTTTAGGCTCATCCGGAACAGCTGCAACCATCCAAGGCCAGAAATCAACCTAACTTGGCGAGTTAGATCGTTTTTGAGGGTTCCCACTTCCCAAGGCTCATCCGGAACAGCTGCAATGGGATCGATTCTTGCCTTCGGGCTTTCAGAGCAAAACAGAAATTTATTACCCGACCGAAATCGATTTCCCGGCCTCTTGTGGCAATGCCGCGCAGCAGGCCCGCGCACCAGCGAGCGGTTGATCGTATTTCCTTTATCGAGATATTGTTCAATACTAAGTTGCTGTATCGCAAGCATATCGGACATTCAAAGCAATACATACCAATAAAATCGAGTGGTATCGCAAAGATTGCAGTACCGAACCGTATCGTCATCGAAACAGCCCTGGTTAAGTAGAAAATACATAGACCTTCAACAAACACAACAAATACGTGAAGCAGCCCTTTTTGAGGGGCTTCTTTTCTCCTCCTAAGTCCAACATCAAGTCCATTGCCATTTTCTTCCGTGTATGGGGCCCGCATCTCTCGTTACTGAAAAGCTTAAACTTTGGCCTTTATGAAGAAACCCGAAAACATGTCCAACTCAAAGTATGTTCCCTCTGCAGACTAGCATGGAACCCAGAAACAGTAACTCAACCTGCAAGTCGGGCAGCTGTTGCAATGGAGGGCTGAGAAGTTCTGGGCCGCAAGTGGCTATGTCAAAGCCAGGACCCCTTTGGTCTTGACCCTAAAGTGAGGGCCTTGACTCAACCCCAAAGACCTGTCTTTTGGTTTTGGGCCAGGAAAAGGTTTCTGAAAGGGTGGGGCAAGGGTCCTGGTGACACGTGAGACCGGATCTTCTTGATCGGTCAAATCATCAGAGCTATGGATGCAGCCCCCGATCTCCTCGCGGGCCGAAAATGGCCCCTTTGCTGCCCAAAGCGCTTTGCGGCGGTGAAACCATGAGAATGTCAATTTGTTCTACGGCCCCTTTGAGGGGGGGTCTTGCTTGGGGGTGGTGTGGTTGGGGGACGAACAAGTCCTCAAGAAATCATGAGTCAGCGTTGGATGTCTTGTCTGTAAAATGGGAATCCTACGGCTCAGGGTGTGAAAATGAGTCCAACGGAAGCCGAACGGACAAGAGGTCGATTTGGACCAAGGGGTGTCTCTTGCAAGAACCTCACCGATACACCGTGGGAAGAAGCGCACATGACCGCTGCAGGCTTTCCCCGCTGAACGAGTGCTAAAACTGCAATCTAAGTCATGGACGGCTTGCTTGATTCACTACTTGGATATGGGACAATTGTGTGATGTTGACATTCAGCAATCCATCCTAGTAACAGGGGGTGTTGCCCTCTAAAAGTGCTGAACCTCCCACAAAAAGGGGACACCTCCTATTAATCTACTGGGGGTGTATTGATCCGGGGTTGCCACTGGATGTCCTGATTTGTGAGGTGACAACAGCCATGCCTATGCAACAAGTACCCCTGCTTACACCAAATTACAACTTCCTTCTGCGCCCACCTTTTCTACTCAAGCACATACCAGATGATATTCCGTGTCCTCCTTTTCTTTGTTACCTTCTCTCTGGGCCTGGCCTTGCTCTGAAAGCGTGACCCGCTCGCCTAAGGTCCTAAAGGGTTCCGGCATGGGGGTTCTTAATTCACAACAGGGAACCAGGTTGGCTAGGTAAACATAACTCAAAATACGGAATCCCAAGGCTTCTTCAAGCCCTTTGTGACGTCGAAACATGGGGGCCCGCCCAGGATTTCTCCACTCTAAAAAACACAAGGCCCCCCTGTATTGCAATACACTCATGCAGCAGAGGGTTCCATCGTTTTCCAACACACACACACCGCCTGCCTTTAGCCTTTACCCCACAAAAGCATATGTTTCATTCTGGTGTATACATATACAGTGAACCTCAAAATGAGAAATGCTAATTGACTTCATACGAGATCCCAGTAACGGCCCAACAGTCCCCAGACCTTCGGGTGGCCGTGGGAAAAAGGGGCACCTGTTGTTTGTAGTTGATGTTGAAGGGGGCTCCCCCCCAACAGAAAGAAAGAAAGAAAGAAAGAAAGAAAGGAAGAAAGAAAGAAAGAAAGACAGATGAAAGAAGGAATGAAAGAAACAAAGCAAGAAGAAAGAAAGAAAGACATAAATATAAAAACAAAAGAAAGAAGGAAATAAAGAAAGAGAGACAGAGCGGCGCAACTAGAGTTCTGGGAGTACAAGGGTCAAGAGCAGGGTTGTGGGAATTGACCACTTCTGGGATATTAACGGAAATCCTTCCACATGAACAATTCTCCAAAGGGAAGGTCCCCTCGTCTCGCGGAAGCGGGAACTAACTCCTCCCACCCTGGCAAAGACTCGGCCCACCTCTAGACCAAAAGGTTCAATTTCCAGGCTGTGCTTCATATTCAGTTTATCTTACAACATGTATGCATATAGAAATACATATAAATACTTGTTTTTGTTGAACAAACAATAACACACTTAGCAAACGACCCTCAATGACTCAATGAGGCTTTTGGCTTTGCCGGCTTTGGCCCTGCGTCCGCATCGAGCGTCGCGCGCAAACGCCCGGTCCTCTCGTTCATGTCCGGCAGCTGAATCCAGGTGCCCGTCACCGGATCGAAGCGCTCGGCCGTGAGCAGGCACTGAGGGAAGGGGCCGGGGCTTGGAAGTGCAGTCTTACCACAGGTCCTCCAGTAGAGAGCCTGGAAGGAGGGTACCCTTTTTCCTGTCTATTTTAGTAGGGGTCCCCCCAAAAAAGGGGCAAAGGGCACTACTGGGGGACCTAGACATCCATTAAACTGGGGCATTCTCCGATTTGTCTTTGGCACATGGGTGGTTTTGAAAGGACCCCCCCCCCCACAAAAACAACAACAAACACAAAAAAAAAAAAAACATGATTGTCAGAACGCCTCAAGGACACGAAGTGATAGCGGATCTTTTGGACATCTTTGAAATGTGCGGATACCAAGTGTTGGGTTTCCTGAAGCACATGCTCATTTGCGCACATGTTGTAACTTTCACGATTTTACTCCGTGACGTGAGAATCCCTTCTACAAAACAGAGTAGTTCCCGGGCAACAAATCATGAAAGCACAACAACGATGAACTTCCAACCAACGAACCAGCCAGCCAACCAACCAACCAACCATTATGGAGTTCTTAAGGGAGGGGGGCGTTAGTGGGGGGGGGGTATGTTTTAACCCCCAAGACTCCCTAGCACTTCCTAAGAGCTCCTTAGCAAGCCCTAGCGCTCCCTCCCCAAGGACCCCTAAAGGCCCCTAAAAGATTCTTAGCCTCCCTTAAGCTCCCCAGCCTTCCAAGATTTAAGGTCGTTGGCACCAGGGCTTTTCAAAGTGAGTTCCCCAAAGTGAGCCCCAAGTACAGGGTTTACCGGGGTTTTTCGGAACCCCTCAAAACCCTATTCCCTAAGCTTCCCTAAGGCTCCCCCTTCCCTAGGCTTCCCTAAGCTTCCCTAAGCTTCCCTAAGCTTCCCTAAGCTTCCCTAAGCTTCCCCAAGGCTCCCTAGGGCTCCCTAGTCCTAGCAAGCGGGCCAAGAAAAACTAATCAGCTTCAATTGGGTTGCTGGAAAACACGCAAAGGACCGAGTGTTTTGCGAAGAGCTTAGTGGGCGGGCAAGCGGCAAAGCAGGATGAGGGCTGAGCCGGATTCAGGATTTGAACCCTAGGCCTCCCTAGGGCTCCCTAGTCCACGCCCATTTACTCAAATTTACCCCCCCCCCCCCCGTAACACCCCCCTCCCTTAAGAACTCCATAATAACCAGGGGACTAGCTCCAGTAAAAAACAAAAACAGGCCTATGAAAAACAACACACCGGATCCGCGAAAAACCATCCCCAGAAAACCCCTCCCCTCCCCAGGCCCGCCTGCCCCCCATCGCTGCCCCCAAACACATGGATGCCCCCCGCAATGGCGGCTGCAGCCACGTAGGCGCGCCCTCATGGCGAGGTCTGAAGGCACTCGCTCAAGGATTTCCAGTTTCCAACACTCCATTTGCTTAAGTCCCCTGGGAAACAATAAATAAACATATTGCCAGTAGTGACACATCCCCTTTCAACCCAACAGGGGAAAAACAAACGTATTCTTAAGCAACTGGAAGCAACCGATGGACAGTGGGTTTTGGAAGACCATCCACTTTTCCAAGGCCCTGTGTCTGCAAAGTAGCCTTCTCAAGCCCGGAGGGTGGCAGTTTCCCATGGTTCAGGGAAGAGTGTACCCGAACAGGAAATGGGATGAACCCGCGTACACACATATGTATGTGTATGTGCATTCCGCATACACATATGCATAACACATATATAATATATATATATATGTACATACATGCTATATCTGTATACATATATATTATATATATATATTGTTCCACTAACTATACGGCTATACAAGCAGTACAAGCAAGGCCATCTATCCCATGCTCCCTTGGCGGGGAATGGTCTGGGGGCAAGTGCCAACCCTTTCTGGTGTCTTCTGCGAGAGTCATCCATTCAAGGAGATGCTCAATTGAAACACCGCCTGAAGCGATTGAATCCCGACACACACACACAAGAAAGCCGATTGAATTGGTCCTGCAAGCCATGAAGCAGTCTCGAACTTGCTCTCTGTTGGCCTCTTTGCCAAAGACATCAGCAAGAAACAAACACGACAATGCCTCTTTTTGCCAACAAAAAACGGCTATCAACAACAAATATGGACGAGTCTCCTCATTACCAACAAACATAACAGAACCACAGCACGACGGTGCCTGGCCCTTTGCAGGTTGCTCTCTATGACAAGCTTCGAATCAGCACCCGTAATTTGCTCCACTCCTTGGCCCAGTTGCGAACCACCTTGCCCTGCGATTGGGAGTCCGGGCAAGCAACAAAAAAAAGGGACAAGCACCGAACGCACCTTTCAGAGTGATCCTAGTTTGACACAGTTCCCCACACATGAACCCGCTGCGTCGCTTTGGCATTGTGCGTAGCTGCGAGGCACAAACTACGAAGAACGTACTGTACCACCTGAAAATACTACAGACTTGAACAGCAAACGACTTCCAATTTATTCCAAACACCACCCCAAGTTTCTGACTTTGCACAACCCTGACAAAGCGTCACCAAAACCCGGTGGTTGCTCTCACCACCAAATAGGTCCTCGGTTTAAGTCTACCTGGCTAGCCTCCCTCAGATAGTCATCGCGCCCTTGGGCCCCCCAGCGCGCGGACATCGGGGGCAGCGTCTCCCAAGTCCCTACCTGCGAGGACGCTCCCCCAAAAAGAACCCTAGGTGACCGGGTTGGATACGAGGATGGCAAGCAGAATGGCCCCAAGGCAAGATGTTCCCAGGCAAGGCAGGTACTGTACATCATTCTTCAAGCAAGAAGTGGCGCTTGCACACCCCAGGTTGTTGTGATTGCTCGAATAAATGTTGGCGGCTTGGAGAAGCCAAGCATACTCTCATAGCTTGCACTCAAAAACATTCACTCTGAGAGAGACAAGAATGCACCGGAGACACTTCTTGGGACCCCCAAAGAGCGACTGTGGCGGTCGTGATTGCTCCTGCAGAAGCGGCTGCAGCTGACTCAAACGGTAACCGGAATCAACCAGGATGTTAAGTACAAAACGCATTTGGGGGCCCATATCCCAAGAGAGAAACTCATGTTCATCCGAAGGCTACCCCTCCCACACTTACTTGCCCCAGGCCAAGGGTTAAAAAACTGGACTTGCCCTTTTGCGTGGTTGAATGTGAAGGCAGCTTACAAAGCAACACGCCAGAGCAACCAGCGGCTTGGCAATGCTTGGCACGCAGTTGAGGTGACTGTGTTGCATCAGGGATATAGCAACATAGGCGCTTGTCAAAGCTATCGATTCTGGAACGGCTCTCAAAAAACACAGCAGCCGTTTCGGACAGCCGGTTTGGGTCGCCCGCAAACACAGATCCCCCGCCCAGAGACTTTCTAAGCCACCCTTTGACACATCGAGTTGGAGCCATTTGGCGCAACCGTTTTTTTTCACATGCCTTCGGGTCGAAGCGCTCGACCGAGTTCAACATCTGCGCCTAGAGATCAGGCCAGGCCCTGGTTTGTCCATCCCCCCAGATTTTTGCCGTGGGTTCCACGAAAGCCTCTCTAAGGAACATGAAACATGGCTGTCTTGACATGGTGAGCAACAAACAAAATCAAGGGAAGCAAACCTCCCGGGCTGCTCTAAAGCCCCTGTCACAAGGGTATTGTGATAAACAGGACAGCCAAAGGGCGCAACTTGCGGTTTAGTCTTGGAGGCTTGGAGCCTGATATAGCCGGAGGCAACCGCGTATGTGTGTCATGAACACAGTTCTCTTCACAGGAACCCATGCTAGGGTTGTCTAATGCTAGGGTTCATGTGTGTATGTATGTATGTATGTATGTATGAATGTATGTATGTATGTATGTTTGTTTGTTTGATTGTTTTGTTTGTTGGTTTGTTGGTTTGTTTGTTTGTTTGTTTGTTTGTTTGTTTGATTGTTTGTTTGTTTGTTTGTTTGTTTGTTTGCTTGTTTGTGTTTGTTTGTTTGTGTTTGTTTGTTTGTTTGTTTGTTTGTTTGTTTTTTAAAAGTATGCACGTGTGTATGTATGTATGCATGTATGTATGCATGTATGTATGCATGTCTGCATGCATATATGTTAGTATGTATGCATGTATGTATCTCCTTTAAATCCGGCCATGTATGAGGTATGCAGGGGGTAACTGTTGGGGTACGTAGCCAGGGCACGTAGCTATTTCCAACCAACTCAACTCCAATGGTGGAATACAACAGAACATTGACATGAACGGCGGATAGCTTTGACATATTAAATAGGACAGGCCGTTCAAAGTCATTTTTAAGCGGATGGCACATTGTGGGAGAATCTCAGTGAGGAATTCGCTTGCAAATGGTCGAGTGTTACTCTACAAGAGTCGCAAACTACCAGATCCATCAAGAAATCACAAGGAAGCAATCATTCAAATTGTTTGGACATATGGTGAAGCTTTTCCGCACAAACCACAAGGAAGCCATGGCCATCTTAAGGGGTTAGTTTCCCTCTACGAAATACTGAAAACCTGGTCGGTTTCCTGTTTGCTTTCTTTCAAACTCCTTTTGCTTGCCCTTAAAGACTGTCCTAAGAGGACCCCCCCCCCCCTCCCGAAAACACAAATAAATAAATCTCCCCGTTTAAGCGACACCCCACAAGCCCCCTTTTTGGGGAAGCCTAAAATGGACGGGATGGTGTCGGGTGGAAGGTTGAGGAGCACTCTTGATAAGGACAGAGTTTCTCCAGGTTCAGGGCATCTGCAATGGTCACATGGATGCTTACCACTCCAAGCCTTTCACGCATGCGCCAGACAAGTGGAATAGACCTCCCCCATTTGGTGGTTTTAGAGCTTGAAAACCACAAAGAAAACGGCCATTTGGTTGGTCCCCTTAAACAGACACAGCCACAAGGAGACCGACCATTTTGGGTCCCCAAGAAAAAAGGCACAGCTTCCCCGAAATTGCCCTTGACCAGGGGGATTCGTTCAGCAGATGGGGCCAGCGCTCCAAAGGCGCCGCCGCAAACGTAGAGCCTGGCCGGGGACTGAAGCGTAACCCCAACCCGTGGTCGGAACTCTCGGGGGGAAACGAATTGGACCCCAAAAGTGGCTTCCTTTTGCAGGTCCTTCTGGCTTCTCTGCTTCTCTGTTATTATTGTCATTTATATGATGTTTATTACTTTTTTTGCGAAGTGCGGTTTCCTTTGGTCGCCATACTAAACCTTGCTTTCTGTTCACCCAGTCTAATTCAGATATTTCAACGATGCAAGTGGAAATATGCACCCCCCCAGCCAGTGCCTTTCGTTGAGCTCATGTTGCCCCCAAAGAAGGTTATGGATTGGGCAGATTGAGGGACCTAACAAGTTTCGGGCCGCTTTCCTTTAGGGACCTGCAAAGCCCAACCCACACGTACAAGGTTTTGAGACAGCTCAGCAACAATCTGTGCGGGAAATCTATGGCTATGAATCTAAATGGGGAATTACACATGGCTGGTTATGAACCCCAATGCAGATGATGTCCACAAGGTGCTCAAAGGTCTCTGCATGAGCCATGAGCACTCTGAAGGTTCGGTTATGCACGACAGCACCAGGCACGTCCCACTGGCAGAGGGGCGGGGGCGGGGGGTCAGACCTGCAAAAGGCAACGGGGGCAATGATTTTGATAAGTCCTTGGCAAATAGATGGATTTCGCTGGTGGATGATTAAACCACCAGGTAAACCAGGAATCGCCCAACCCATTTTTCTACCAAAACAGCTAAAAGGACACCAATGGATAAGCCCTATCCCTCCACGGGTGAATATAGCTACCACATCTTCAGGCCATGAGGCGTTTTGTGGGTCTGCAAAATTGGCTCCAGGCGGTGCCCAAAAATAGGGGTCATTTGTTGGATGGCTATTAAGGGAAACCAACAAGAAACCAAGCTGTCTATGCGTCAACAAACCAACAGGACACCCATAGGAAACCAATGAACAGGTTGCCTAAAGAGGCACCAAAGGAAACAAAAAAAAAAAACAATCTCTATTATCCCCGGCGGTTGTGTCCATAATTAACACGTTGCCCGCAAAATCGAGCAAGCTTTTCTTGGCCTGCCGCCACATGCTGCAGCGGATGCACCTGGGACATGTTTGATCAGAGTTGTGGGACTTCAACCGAAAACCAAAAGGGATCACTGGATTTCCGTCGTGTCTCGTTTCGCAGGGGGGGGGAGGGGCTGGATGTAAAGTTGGGTCAATCTACTGGTAGTTTCCAAGTTGAAACTGATTCACTGGAGGTTCCAAAGAGGAACATGGAGGACACCCTGTCCAACGAGTGGCAGTCATTCTGGATATTCCGGGCCAGTGAACACTGGCAAAGCGGCAACAAATGCCAAGGATGGGGCGGGAACAATTGAAGTGCTTCAAGCGACGAAACCAGATGCATTCCAAATACCCTCCTTTGGGGGGGTACGTTTTGACAAACAGGATCGAATTCTCCTTGTGGATTGTCAGCTTTACCGGGAAGTTGGCCAACGAATCATCCAAACACCAGGGTTTCTCGGTTTCTCAGATATTTCCCTGGGCAAAGTATCTGGGATTTGCGAGGAACCAAGATCCACCACGTCCCAGGCTCTGCAAAGGCGTGATCCCAAGAGTGTCATGTACCCCCGGGTCTACCCCTTCAAATTTCTCCTCAGGCAAAAGGAAGCCCCCGGTTTCTGGGAAACTTGATCTCAAAAAGTGGCCTTGGGTTGAGTCGTGGTTCTCGAAAGCAACGCACACACGAGGGAATCCTATGCCCCCTTGAAACATCACCTTTCTGAAAAGAAACTCATCTGAAAAGGAAGGGAGATACACGGACCCTGACACATGTAGGTGAATTACTTCAGAGGTCCCAAGAAAAAAGCCGGATCGTTACAGGGCTCAAACCGATCGCTACTCGACTTGGATATGAAATTGGATTGGGGAACAATTGGCACTCATTTCCATGGAAATCTACGTTCCCCAAGCTTTGTTAAGGAGTTCTAACCATTAGAAACAATTTCAAGTCGCCTAGACAAATGGATTCCTGGCCCCAATAGTCATGCATGGGCCGATCTCATGTAGACATATGCGCCATGCTCAGGAAACGGATGAAATGCTGAGAATATTGCGTTGGATACCCTTTTTACGCTTGTTGGCTTGGACCTTCTGAATCAAAAGAGCTGTTTGCCAGCATCGGGGGGCTTCCAGCTCGCACCCGCCTGCCCGCTGGCTTGACAGGTTTGGCAGCCTTGGACAAGGGGAGCAACACCCTGGATGAGAGCAACACTTATTCTTGCAGCCGAAAGATAGCTCCTTGTTGGAAGGGAAACTAAACAGGACAGCCACATCTGAATCCATCTCTATTCCCTCTAATTCTCAAGGATGTTCAAGCTGTGGCTGGCAAAGAAGAAGTCAATGATAGACAGGTAGAGGTTGAGTGAGGATAGAGGGATACATAGGTGAGAGGAATGACAAGGAATCTATGCTCCATCAATATCCGCTCTAATTCTATCTCTTTCTACATCCCTTCCGTTGTGGTGCCCCCTCCCACATGGGAACAAATTTCAATTCAATCCTCCACGCACCTCATTTGCCACCGGCCATTGCCCCATTCAAACTCAATTGGCTGATCGGAGTAGTCCTGTGCAGCCACTGCTTCTTGCTCACCAGGGCCGGTGTGGTCAGAGTAATCACCACTCAAATATGGAGGCCAAAAATACCATTCCGTTTCAGAGGCGACTTTTCGTGCCATCTTCAAGGGGCCCAAAAGCCAAACGCGGGGATGACCCAATCTTGCCGACCAACCATGTGCCATTAGATTCCTGGGTGGGTGACATCTTTCGCGGTCGGCTGAAAAGAAAAGCAAATGCTTGCACACGAAAAGGCGACCAGTGAGTCACAATCATGACCCAAGTTCTCCTTTCCGGTAAGAGGCAAGTTTTGAGTGGTTTGCCTATGGCTCACCTGACGTTTGTGGACCATTGAGACAGGCTCAAGCCGGAAAGTCTATTAAAGGCTAAAGGGCATTGAGATCAAATGCAACTGACCGAGGACGTTGCGGAAGCCAAATGCTTGGAGAGATGTTCAGCCTCTCCACGCCTGAGACAAAATGCTAGAGAGAAACCACCGGGTTGGCGACGATTTCAAGCCCAAAACCAGGCGAAGAGCCTTCTTTGCTCCGAACAACACCAGCTTCCAAAAGTCCCCAGCTTCAAATCAAGCCACTCTGAATATGGGCACTGGACTTGAAACCCGGAGTACCTCTTTTTGTGGTTTCAAAGGAGAAAAAAAAGGACAACCATCACGATGTTTCCTGTTGTTGTTTGTTTTTGGGGGGACACACCCAATATGCCTGTAGAATCCTTTTCAAACAAGGGTCATGTCCGACCCCTGCGACTACCCAAAGGCTCGACATCCAGGGCCAATCTTCTCGCTACATTGTTAAACCTGCATAGATACACATGCTCGACCGTGAACCATCAGCCAATCCTAAAGGAACCTGACATGACGTACAGGTGAAATCCGGCTGTGGCCCTAATGTGTCAATCAGACTTACCCGCACCCAAGCATGTCGTCTCTTGGGATCAATGGGGGAAGTACCAGAACCTGGGGAAGGGACACTCATTTTGGATGGTTTGGAAGCTGATTTAAAAATAGGCCATGTGGGCAAAGAAATTAATTTCCATCAGTCCCAGTGAAATTGAACTAGTGGGTTTGTACAGCCTCATCTTGACAGAAGATAAGCTAGCGCTCTGAGCTGACCACTACTTAGTGGCTCCCGTTGCTCGTCTCTGCCGCCACATACATAGAGCAGTCCTGGAGCTTCAACAACGTAAGAGACGAGCTCAGCATGTAGAGATGCATTTGAGTTGCGTTTGGCTGCCTTGGTAAAACCAACTATGGGAATGCCAAGCCATTTCTATCGATTTCATTCTGCAATTCTCATCCCGCACTGTGACCCAGCACTTTTAGGGTGCACGTAAACAACTCCAGATAGGTGTGTATTAATATGTCTATTGAAATAGGTTCTAAAATGGGTGGTGCATTCACCGACCCCAAAATGGGATCTCATTAATTTTGACAACCGCCATATCGGTTCGGGTCCCAGCTTCCCTGACTAGACCCATGCGTCTCGGCTGCGTCCTTGCAGGGCCACGGCCGCAGGCCAGCCCCGCCGCTCCGCCATGGCCGGCATCACCTACACGGCGCGAGGCGCGAGGCGCGAGGCGCGAAGCAAATCGCCCCTTGGCGCCCAAATGGGAGCAGCTCCCAAAGGATGGCGGATCCCCTTCGTAGTTGGCACGGGGAATTTCGAAAGGCTCACAACTTCGGGGTTTCGAGAAACATCCAAATCTGGAGAAGTACAAAACAAAAACAACATGTCTGACTCTGTTCCATATCGGTCTACCCTAACTCTAACATATTTAGAAGGAGACCACCTTTTTGCAAATTACAGCATCTGAGTCTTTGTACGCACAAATATGTATCAACGATTTCCGCCATGTGACTCTTAAGCTGAATTGAAGGCTTGCCCCCCATCCAACCCTCACTCCTGGCCCGGGGCTTAACCTTCAGGGGTAGCGTCTACAGGACCGGTGGTGGTGAAGCCATTGCCATTCATCATTTTACAAACACACACACACACCATTGGCGAGCCCCCGTTCTGGCCTGCCAGCTGCCGTTGAAGTTTGCCTCCCACATGTGAGGCAAAATTCCTTCGTGGGGATCCGAATCTGGGGTGGACATTGCGGGAGACACTCCTGACACGGATCCCTGTTTCTCTGCCTGGCTTGATGTTGGGCCCAGCAGCAGCAAGAATGACAAGGCGAGGTTTCTCTGATCGGAACCGATGCTGTGACCTTCATGGGTTGGTTTCCCGTCAGCTGGGATCGCTACTTACAAACATGGCAGCCGTTCATGATGCTGATGGCTTGCATCATGTTGGAACTCATGTGTCCAAGGCCCAAAGGATTGCTTTCCCTTGCCACAGGGTCACAACAAGCAAAAATGGACAGGCCCTCCGCTTGCACCCCCCCTCCCGAGCAGCGCCGCGCAACATTTACTCTTGTTCTACATGACTTGGCCGTCATGAGACCAGGTAGGAACGAATCCTACTCCGTATTTAGCAAGACTCCAGGGAAACTGCTACCATCCGGCAGGATCTTGCAAACAGATTTGGGCATGTCTTCTTTCGAGGGTCCCCCTTCTTTGGTGGGTTAGAAATGAACGCAAATGGGAAAACTACCTTGTTTGGAGGGTCCGAATCCGCTGAAAAACACACCCACTTGGACCCTCGGAAGTCTTGGGCACCCTAAGCTGACCCTAAGCCTGGGGCCCCCTGCAGCACTTCCGGGAGCCCGGGGTGTGCAGTGCGGCACCTGCGCCACGCCTCAGTGGCCCCGTGGCTGCGAGGTTCAAGAAAGCGCCCCAAACCCAGTGGCATGGGGAAGCCCCGAAACACATCATGTTTGTTTTTGGTCGGCTGTCCTGGTTTCCCTTACCTCAACCATTAATTAGAATACAGGGTCTTTTTTGCCTGAAAGGGAGTACCTCCAACACCAGACCCCTCCTCGCATCGAAGGTCTGGGCTCCAGGCCGGGGGGCGAGAAGCACTCCACGGAGTTCAGAGGCTGCCTGGCGCGCAATGAACTCCGCGAAGCTCGGTTCCGCGATCCGCGATCCGAGAGGATGGTCCCTGGTCCCAGTCCAGTGGTCCAGGCACAAGGAGCTGGCCCTTGAAGGGGCCCGTGGCCAAGGTCCGTAAGAGAGTGGAGCAACGTCACTGACAAAACGTGGCCAGGCAAGAGGGCCTTGGCAAGCTTGCGCACAGAGGTCAGTCCACGCGGTTGTGCTTATTAGTTTCGGGAGCAGTGTGGCGGGTGTGCTTGTTAGTGAGGTGTGAGGGATGTGCTTATTGTGCACAGTTAGGCCTACGATAGGAGTGTGACTGGTGTTAGGTAAGCCTGCGGGAGCAGCGTGATGCGTGTGCCCATTAATAAGTGAGCCTACAGGAGCAGCGTGACGGGTGCGCCTGGCGAAAGAGACGTCCGGGTGCCAACTCGTTACGACGCGCAGTTTTGGCCCAGTGGAACTTTCAGCCTGGGTTCAGGCGGGGCCAACGTGAACCAGTGCTCAGATCCACCCCACCACCAACAAAAGACAAACAACCGCAATCTCCTTTAGCATCCTGCTGTTGAAGGGGGTCCAGTTCGCACCCAAAACAAGCCTTGCCATGTTGTCAACACGTTCGGCCCTGCGCGAATCAAATTCCCCCTCCTACCCCAGGTGTGCACACCAAGCCCAGCCCGAGCGGAGAGGCGTTGACTCAGGCTTCTGGCTTTTGTGCTACCTATACATGCACTTTCGGGGAACATGAGCCACCCCTGGGTTAAAGTCTCTCCGGGGCGAAGTCAACATCCGGAGCCCCTCGCTGACTAGCCTGCTCTCGTCCAGGCCACCACAAATGAAGAGCCGCTTGTTGATGACGCCTGGCCGCACGGAGATGGCGGAAACACAGTCCACCATCACTCGCTGCTGCACTCTAGCTTTGACTTCAAGAAGTGTTGGTGGACATACATCCAAATGATGTCTACCAAAATGCCCCCCCCTGTCCAATCAAGAATATCTGCCATGCATGGGCCCTTCTGCATGGGCCCTCTGGACCTACCCGCAGAGCTCTCCTTTTGGCACTTGCCTTTCTGCATGTTGCTGAGACACATCTTTGTCAGCTTTGCACATGCACCTTGACCTTCGAAGCACAGCTCCGTGGAAGCCTCCGGTCAAGCCTTCACTCCCAAAAGAACATCAGAGTCTCCTTGATTCATCCTTCACACTCAAGGTGGCCAGTCTCACGTGCGCTAGCTTGCACCCAACCTGGGACTCCTTTGCCTGCAGTGTCACATCTCAGACTTGCCGACCTGGCTCGAACCCTGGGCACTCCTTTGGCCCCTTCCGTCCAGCTTCGTTCAGCTCCCTCCAGCTCCTTTCCTCGAACCCGGGGATTTTCGTCACTCGAAGGGGTTGGGGAGATCCTCCAGCTTGGGCGCTGCTGCCATCTGGTAGAACCTCACTTGCACGGACAAGTCGCGGCTTTGTTCTCTCTGTTAAGACCAAAGGGCGCATCAGTTCACATCCGTTAGAAACCCTTTCTGGTTGGCTTCATAGGCACACCCTGAGGAAACCATACATTTTGGGCTCCAATTCCAATCTTTACCCGTATACATACGTATACACGTCACAGACACGGACATGCAAAATCTGCATGGCCAAACAGACAACATAAGTAGCAAACCAACATTGGGACAATGCAAAACACCGAAAGCTCAAAACAGGATTGCTTTGGACCAAGGAACTGGTCCAGCAACGTTTGGATGCGCTCCCTGCGGCACCTCTCCTGGACTTGGCGAAGCGCCTGCAAGACGCGAACGGATGCGGTGTCGGTTGCTTTTCTTGCTTAATGTGTTTGCTTTTGGATTTGCGTGTATTTGCGTGTTTGCTTGCTTGCTTCTTTGTGAGTACTTGTGTTGTTGCTAGTTTGTCCATCTATTCATTCGTGCGGGGAATCGACTGTTTCGTCGGGAGGAGATACTTCGAAAGATACACCTGGGCAAAAGGGGAAAACAAAGGAACAATGTGACATCGCTTTCGCGGTCAATAACCTTTGCCAAACAAACTAACAACGCAAACATACGCAACCTCGGTCGCAATGAAAAGCCGGGCCACGTGCATATTGCCCAACCTGGTGTTTCCAGAAAACAAGGGACCTCCGCCAACAACTAAGGATGGTTTCCCTGTGGCCTCCGTTTGAAGGCCATCCGAAAGGGTCCGGGGTCCGGCACTACTTCAACTCTGTGTCGCGTAGGTTGCGAACCACGTCCAATAAATATATATTGGGACATCCCACCACAAAACCACATCGAGCCCAGCTGAAAAATTACGAAGCTTGCCAATCCAAGAGCACATGGTAGAAGTGAGCCCCCAAAGTTTTTCTGGTTGGACATTTGCGAGAGCTCGTCCCAATATGTCCGCAGCAAATGGAGCCTCTGCTGTTTATGTGCCGCGCCTTGGACCGCTCGAGCTTCATCACGATCTCATGGACCTTGGCCGTGAGCACCCGGTCCCGCAGCCGGCGCTCCTCAGCGGCGTGGAGCATCTGGTCCTCTGCCACGGCCTGGTTCCAAGGTCGAGGAGCCGAGTCTTGGAACAAATCCCTACTGAAAACCACCCCAGTGGCAAAAAACATGACAATTACCCAACAACACCCAGAAAGATAAACTGAGAACCACCCCTGGGAGACATGAAAATTAATTTCCCCAGATGTCTGAGATTGATAACAGCTCCCTGGGAGATGAAACCAGTTTCTGACATTGATATGCCCAAGACACAGTGAAAATCGAAACCCCGGGCCCAGCAAATGGCTGGGTCATGCTGGGTTTCTTAGGGTTTCCAACCAGCACACGGTGCTGGGCCCAGCCTGTCTGTGTGCCATGTCATGTGCCTGGGCCCTCATCTTCTGGCATTCCACCTGCGCATTCTCCACCGCCGACCTGGATTCGGGACACCACACTCCCAAACCCACTGCCTCCAGGATATGAATGGAACATATAGACACTAAACTCCCCTGACGACAATGGCACCCAAGAAGGGGGTTCCCCAAAACAAGATTCCTGGTGGGCTGCCTGGTTTCCATGACAATCTGCCCAGGGCTTCGAATTTTGAGACACCCCCCGTCCGTCTTCCATCAATCTGACCTGAAGGCGACACCCCTCGCGACGAAAGTCTCGGCCTCGCCAGGGCGTTCTTCATCCTCAGCTCTCGCACCTTCGCCTGCCCAAGCCGCGGCTTCCAAGGGCCAAAGGAGACCCATCCGAGGTTCTATCGTTGAGGTTTGGACGAGGCACCCCAATTGTGTAAACTGTTTTGGGAGAGATGCCAGTGATCCTGGATTCCCTTCCAAAACCCCCCCAAAGCGTCCCAACTCCAAACAAACGAATAACCCCTTATCTGGGGTCTCCTCCAATACTCTTTGTTGTTTGAGGGCTGACTAAATGTTGAGCAGAATCAGAAGATGGGATTTTGGGTGTACCAAGTGTAGGTTTTGCCACAGATATGGGCGATCATCTTCCACCGTTCTGCGCCTCAATGTCCGCCAGCTGCTTCGCGCATTCCCCAGAGACGCCTTGGCCTTTTTGCGCCAGCAGCGCCGTTTCCGCTGCGCAGTCGTGGCGGCCTCAAGCACCGAAAGGAATGAGCCGTGGTACACTTTGTCCTTTACCACAAGCAGCAAACATGGCGCCCGCTGATCAGAAATACTTACGGAGCTCCAAGGCAGATTGCGAATATCATCGATTACGCTCTGAAAAGGCCTTTGTGGGGGGTTGTCCTTTCCTATCCAACCTTATCCATAGCCCTCGGAGTCTGAAGCCTATGTGAGCAGGACTTGTTTGGGTGTATCGGGCCCATTCCCCTAGCTTCGCCTACGCGGAGCCTCCACGGGTGTGCAAAGCTGTGTAAGGTCAAACACGCCTACGCGAACACGCGGACAGCCTAAATGAATCGCTTCTCCCGCCAGAATTGCCTACGCGGTGCCTCCACGACACAAACAGAGTGCTAAGCGAATACATCGCACAAAAACTCTGTTCATCTGTGGTTTCCCCAACGGACATGGGAATTCCGGATATTGACTCCGCTCGCATCATGGACAACTGAGACTGAAAAACAATTGTTAAACCGTGCTGGGTGGGCTCGGACATTGCCTGCCAAGGTGGTCCCGCAATGGCAGTAAGGCCTCATCTAAAGGTTCGTATGCGTGCGTGCGTGCGTGCGTGCGTGCGTGCGTGCGTGCGTGCGTGCGTGCGTGCGTGCGTGCGTGCGTGCGTGCGTGCGTGCGTGCGTGCGTGCGTGCGTGCGTGCGTGCGTGCGTGCGCGTGCGTGCGTGCGTGCGTGCGTGCGTGCGTGCGCGTGCGTGCGTGCGTGCGTGCGTGCGTGCGTGCGTGCGTGCGTGCGTGCGTGCGTGCGTGCGTGCGTGCGTGCGTGCGTGCGTGCGTGCGTGCGTGCGTGCGTGCGTGCGTGCGTGCGTGCGTGCGTGCGTGCGTGCGTGCGTGCGTGCGTGCGTGCGTGCGTGCGTGCGTGCGTGCGTGCGTGCGTGCGTGCGTGCGTGCGTGCGTGCGTGCGTGCGTGCGTGCGTGCGTGCGTGCGTGCGTGCGTGCGTGCGTGCGTGCGTGCGTGCGTGCGTGCGTGCGTGCGTGCGTGCGTGCGTGCGTGCGTGCGTGCGTGCGTGCGTGCGTGCGTGCGTGCGTGCGTGCGTGCGTGCGTGCGTGCGTGCGTGCGTGCGTGCGTGCGTGCGTGCGTGCGTGCGTGCGTGCGTGCGTGCGTGCGTGCGTGCGTGCGTGCGTGCGTGCGTGCGTGCGTGCGTGCGTGCGTGTGTGTGTGTGTGTGTGTGTGTGTGTGCGTGTGCGTGCGTGCGTGCGTGCGTGCGTGCGTGCGTGTCCGGTGTATGTGTGTGTGTGTTCTGTGTGTGTGTCTTTATTTTTGTTCATACGCTCTTCACGTTAGTTCAAAGGGTTTCAATAGGAAAGCCACAAATCCTGGGCCTTCGGTCATTTTCCACTGTTTTCCGAACTGACACACGTGCATTCAGTCAGTACCCAACTTCTTCATGGTACTTTGATGAGTGTGCCCCGTGTCATCCCCTTTATCCCGGAAAAAATGACCATTGTTCATCTAACCATGAATTTTGGCTTTCCAGTTTCCCAACATTTGCAAGTCGCGCTCCTGGTCAGGGGCCAGCATTGCCTATATTGCCTCTAGGATTTGGCTCCTCAATGACATCAAGTCATACGCACTCGCGCGTATGGCTGTCATGCACACCCAAGCCACAAATGCCTACACCTATCAAGCAAGAACAGCCGATGCAAATCCACTACAAGCTTCTTCCACATCTTAGAACCTGTTCAGCTGTGCCCCGTAGAAACACCTTTGAAGCGGCTGCAAAAAAGGCTCTACTTGCCCACATCCCTTCTAAATGGAACCAAACAAACTTCACGGGGCACCCCCACCAAAACCAAAAATCCCCCCCGCAATTCAATTTATCTGTTGGCCATCCCACCTTTCCCCCCCCCCTCCCGGCGTCAAGAGGCTTCGCTCCACCTGTTGGGCCTGCGGGGCTCGAAGACCCTTGTGACTTCGGGATCTGAAGCGTTGGGACCGGAAAATTTGGGCGTCCCTTGGAGTTCCCGTTCGCAACCACCCCAGAAAAGGGCTCCCCGACCAAAGGAAAGACCGATTTGGGGTTCAGGATCTTTTTCCGCTTTGAAAACTGTGATTGTTATGTTTGAGCAAACTTGCGTTGCTATTTTGCAACCAACTAGGGGATGTTGAATTATTCACCAGCTCAACTTCCACTCAGACCTTCCAACAAACATGGTCAAACTCCATACTAAACAAGCCTGGCTCAACTTTCGTGGAATAACTATAAAGCATGTTTTAC